AATATGCATCTCCATGTCTCTCTGCATCTTCCTTCACTTCCTCTTTCCTCTCCCCCCACGAGCACTACGTCATCTGCAAAAGGCATGTGCCAGGAGCCACTCTCTGGCTGCTTTCTGTCAATGCCTCCAGCACCGATGTGAACAAAAAGGGGCTTAGTCCCAAGCCTTGATCTATTCCAGCTGTTACTAGAAACTGTTCCCTTTCGCCACATGAACCTCGCGCTGTGGCAACAGCACCATCGTACATGTCCTGGACACATCTCGTATAAAAGCTTTATTCACTCAATGAGGGGTGTCAGGATCCGGACCCTGCATAAGGCAAACACCAACGTCAGTCGCCCTTCAGCGCCTGCAGAACTCACCCTCTGCCCTGGGTCTCTCTGCAGGGAAAGCAGAGCGGTGGAAGCAGCAGTTTTTGCTCTTTCTTTAATTTGACCTTAAAGATTTTGATGTCCACATGCGGAGACGGGAGTGCGGCGTTATCACTGGAGCTGAGAGGCTCCATCCCTTGAATGTGCCCTGCAGACTAGTGCCCCTGTGTGTGCCCCAGAGCCCTGTGTGCTGCTGTGCCGGGTTAGGAGTCTCACCGGGCAGGAGGGAGCCATGTAGATACTCTTCAGACAAGATCTGTGCCCTCCACTGCAGTGGGAGGGGGGTGCACCCTCTAGTGGTGTTTGTCTGTGTCTGCGCGCACATGGCCTCTAGTGTTGTGAGTGCACATTTGTGTTTGTCCACCAACATGCGTCCTCTAGTGTTCAGAACTGTTGTTGTTCATCAGAGGTGCTATACTGCCAGGGGCGGGTCTATGTATTTTCCTTGACTGCCGCCCTCACGGCAACCGGCACGCGCCCCCCGTGGCTTGTCGCCCCAGGCACGCGCTTGCTGCGCTGGTGCCTGGAGCCGCCCCTGTATACTGCTAACAGTTAATGGGGACTCTCCTTCAACTCATCTGTCAGTGACGTGAGTTTTTCAGGCAGCAGGATCTGGGCTCTATCCCTGCCCTGCCAGACATTTCTGAGCAGCTGCCGGATGCAGCATAGAGACAGCTTAGGAATCCATGGGCTTGTGACAATGTTGTTCCCTGGCTTCTGTAATGGAGGGATGGGGGAGCGGGAGCGAAGAAGGAAGGACAAAGGGTTCTAGCTCCAGTTGGCTTCAGGTGCCAGTGGGGCCCCGATTCAGCCTCAGTGGACCCCCTTTGTAAAGGGCTCCCCCTCTGAGAGCAGTGCAGCCCCCTGAACTGGGAGAGGCTGTGATGCCTGATGCCCCCTGGGAACACACGGGACGTGGCATCTGAACCCCCGGACTCCTCGCTCCCAGGGCTTTTCCTTTCCTGTCCCCAGGAAGCGACTCTCAGTTTCAACATCATCACCTACGTGGGACTGACCCTCTCCCTGCTGTGCCTCTTCCTCGCCATCCTCACCTTCCTCCTGTGCCGATCCATCCGCAGCATCAGCACCTCCCTCCACCTGCAGCTCTGCCTCTGCCTCTTCCTGGCCGACCTACTCTTCCTCACCGCGGTGACCAGCACCGGCAGTCAGGTAGGGCCCAATTCTCCCCTGCTCTGTTCCTCCACTCGCAGCAGGGCTGGGGTGTGTGGCTTTGAACCCCTTTGTGCTCCCTGGATTCTGGGCTGTGCAGGACACAGCGGGGATTTCCGGGGGAATGTTTCCACTCCCCGTTAGGCCCCTTCACACTGGGCACAGTGGTCTGAGTGTCCCCAACCCCTGGAGTTCAGCCAGTTCTGTCTCTATGTCACAGTCTCCCTGTGCCTCGATTCCTCTCCTACGTGACTTCCCCGTGGTCACCCAGGGACTCTGTGGCAGGGCTGGGAACAGAACCTGCATCCCCTGAGCCCGTCTCCCCTGATCTAACCACTAATCTCTGCTCCCTTCCTGCATCAGCAATGTGCACCTGCAGGACCCTCCATAGACCGAGGAACCTGCCATCTCTGGGTCACGGAGCGCTATAACTGGAGAGCTGTGCTAACAAGAATCCCAGTGTGACTCCCCCTGGCAGGTCTCCCCCATAGTCAGCATTTCCCTTCCCCACCGCAGTGTCCCTGGACTCTCTGTCTCCCCCAGGTGGCGTGTGCTGTCATTGCTGGCCTCCTACACTACTTCTTCATGGCCTCCTTCAGCTGGATGTTCCTGGAGGGGCTGCACCTCTTCCTCACCGTCAGGAACCTGAAGGTCGTGAATTACACCAGCGCCAGCCGGTTCAAGAAGAGATTCATGTACCCGTTCGGCTACGGATTCCCAGCCCTGGTGGTGGCTATTTCTGCAGCGGTGAATCCTGACGGCTATGGAACTTCCAAACAGTACGTGCAGCGCCCATCCCGAAGGGGAGCTGGGATGTGACTCCCATGCGCTTGTCCAGCTCACCCCAGGTCTGACTTGAACCTAGATTTCCCTGCTCACCCTGCCTGGGAGCTGAATGTCCCCCGGGACCCTTCCCATCCCCAGTCACACTAAGCTGCCCCGAGTGCTGCAGTTGAGTTGCCCACCTGTCAAACATCTACACTCCTCACCCCACTGATGATGTGGAAGATCAAGCCAGAAAGATCCCAGCTTGACTCCCAGGTCCCAGGCTGGGTTTGTGGGGCTGGTGGGTAGGAAACAAATGCACTTTCTTCCTGTGTGCAGATCCCTGAGGATCCCCTCTCTAAAGTGAGGGATTCACTAAAACAGGGCGTGGCGTGTTCTAGACACCCCAGGCTAGATCCTCAGCTGGTGTAAATCAGGGCAGATCCACTTCCTTCAGTGCAGCGAGGCCAATGTCCATCCGCTGCATGTCTGGCCCTCCAGCAATACTGCGCCCATCCACCAGAAAGGGTCATTTGAGGAGGTGGAAGAGGAAGTGGTGGCTGAAAGCAGGAGATGCTGAGGTACATGGGGAGGGCTGTTCACCTGCTGCCCGCAAGAGAGTCGGCCATGTCACAGGCAGGCTGAGATCCATCTCGCTTTTGAGAGCCAGCTGCCCTGTGACCCCCCCTCTCTGCCCCCGGGGCTGAAAAAGGAGAGGAATCCCATTAACGTCACCTTCTTCTTCTTCCTCCCTCCCGCTAGCTGCTGGCTCAGCCTGGAGAGAGGCTTTCGTTGGAGCTTCCTGGGTCCAGTCTGTGCCATAATCCTGGTGGGTACCTCCCAGAACCACAGGGCCCCATTCTCCTCTCACCTCTGCCACCCCATTGATTTCAGTGAAGCAGGGAGGAGAACGTGGCCCATAAAACACAAGGAAAAAAACAGTTATGTCCCACTTGGCTCATCTCCTGGGGTCAGTCCCGGGATTAGTCCCTGTGCTGTATCCCCAGGCCTAAAGCCTTTACTCGGGCACAGCTCCCATGGATGTCAGTAGGAGTTTTGCCAAGTGAAGACAGAAGAGTTTGGTCTGGTCTAGTTAATGACCCAAGGAACGAGGAAGGGTGAGGGTTGGACTCTTCAGTGGTTTTTGTAGCGGGGGAAACAAATGTCCCTACATGTTCCTCCGTACCACCTGGGGAAGTTTCGGGGCGGGGGGGGGGGCGGGGATTTCTTACAGCCTGGAAGTGGCAGGAAGTATTCTAGAGGCAGAATCTGGAATCTCTGAGCCAGATCCTGCTCTCAGTTACACCAGTGTAAACCCAAAATGACTCCTGACTCCACTGGAGAGGCTCCATATTTAACTCTGAGCAGCATCTGGCCTCTGTGATCCCATTGATCCATCTCAGCCCTGGCTGTGCTGTCAGCTCCACGCATGGGGAGGGACCGAGAGCTGCCCGGTGATATTACAGGAGACGATATGATTCCCATGGGAAATGAGCAGTCCCCGGTTCTGCAGTGTTCGGCTCGGTCCCCTGGGATCGTTCTCTGCCTCAGCTGGAGTCACCGGCCCCGGATGGGATGTTTTACAGGAAATATTTCCCACTCATCCCACAGATAAATATAACGTTCTTTGCCTTGACCCTGTGGATCCTGAGAAACAGTCTCTCCTCCCTCAATGCAGATGTGTCCACCCTCAGAGACCACAGGTGAGACGGCAACTAAACAGTCTTGGAGGGTCAGATGTCTTGGTTTGGATGGTCCTTGGCACTGGGAGGGTGTGAGGGATTGCAGGAGGGGAACAGCATATCTAGGATCCATAGGAATGAATTCCCAGTGTGTTTACATTGACAGTAACCCTGTCCCACACAGGAAAGCCAGGGACGGTAGCTCCACCCCACTCTGTCCAGATCCTCTTGACCCAATTACTCTCCATAGGCTTATTGTAACGGGTTCTCTCCATCTGACTTTATCCAGGTTACTGACCTTTAAAGCCATCGCCCAGCTCTTCATTCTGGGCTGCACATGGAGCCTTGGTCTCCTCCAAGTCGGCCCAGCAGCCACGGTCATGGCGTATTTATTCACCATCATCAACAGCCTGCAGGGAGCCTACATCTTCCTGGTGCACTGTCTCCTCAATCGCCAGGTAATGCCCACGGCCCGTCAGCGCCCAGCACTTTCACTGGCCTCGCAGTGGCCATCTCTGATCTTCTCCAAGTTAGTTACATAGTGCAGTGACCCTGTCCCTCACTCTCCAGGTGAGAGAGGAGTACAGGAGATGGATCAAGGGATTCCGAACGTTCAGCATGAAATCTCAGACATACGATCTATCCATGTCTGCTGTCCCCACCACCAGCACCAAGACGGTAAGAGGTCCTCTGCTCTGTTCCAGTACCAGCCTGTGAAACAGTCATCTCTAGCTGGGTCTCATTACTGCTGTAAAGGTAATGAGACCCAGCACCTCCGTGTTTCCCCTTTCCTGGCACCTCCGTGTTCCCTTCCCTTGGCTCTCCTGGGAGCTCCAGGGGTCACTCACTGTGGGCTAGGCAGGCATTGGCTCTTGCAGTGTAATGATCTGAATAGATCAGATTGTCCCCTGGGATTGAATCCTTGTCAGTGCAGACGGATCATCTCCAATGAGCAGTCAGCACCGTGAAGAATTTCCCTTGGCTCCATTATCCCTATGGGTCAGGATCCAGGGGCTTCGTGTGTCGCCTTCCAGAAACAATCAGTCAGTTTGCACATTACACTCTCAGTGGCCTTGGAACCTATTGTCATTTTTCTGCTTTTCTTGCCAGGTGGAGTTGGCAGCAACCAGGGCCGAGTTCAATACGTAGCGGTTCCAATACAAAACCAAACCGGCTGGAGCCCCCTGTGATGTTGCACTCCATATGCTTTATGGAAATATGCTTATGAATGACATAACTGGAATATACTTTACGCTAAATACCTCTTGCCTGGTGTCTTTAGAAAGCTTATCATCTGCTAAGTGTGTTCATCCTATTTGTTTGCATGTATTATATCTATATCTGGACTTAGGAGAATAAGATATAAACTTGTATCACTGATGGAAAAACATAGTAAGTGGAGGCCATTAAGTTGTGAATGGCCTTAGTTACTTGAAAGCCTCCCTGTGTACGCGTGGGCCAGCCCATGGGGAATGGAGACTAGGGGTCTTACAGTGACTTGTGGCCATGTCACCTGATAACAAAATCCATCTTAAATCATGTATTTTCCATTTAGAAGGAGGGATGGAGGACCCAGAGA